AGGTACTCCCTTATATATAGGTTATGGTTTTTCATCCGTTTTGGTCATAAATAGGGTATCAATTTTAGTTTTGGTCATAAAAAGGGTATGGTTTTTGTACTCTAGTCTTGAATTGGGTATGTTTTTTAGAAGAAGCTACTTTTTCATCATTATCGATAAGACCGATCAACAAAAGCCTTTAACATCGGTCTGCACTAGGGAACTAAGTACACGGCAGGTCTGAAACAGGGCATTGATTTAGGGTCAGGTCATAAATAGGGTATCGAATTTTTGGTCAGGTCATAAATAGGGCAGGAAAAATCGCAGATTTTGGCCATAAATAAAGTAAGGGTTTTGCACCACACACCCCACTCAATTTTTCTCGGAGTGCCGCCCCTCCACCCCTCCTTGTGGAGGGAGCTGGTTTAAGGTTGGCAGAGCTGAAGGGAGGCCAATAGACAGGGGCCACTTTCCCCATCATTGAATACTGCTGGCTCGCTTCTTGCAATCAAGAATCTTGTAGATCACTTTACATGTTTGCACTCACCTTGTGACAGGATTGTACATTCCTTGGTATACAGTTGGTAATGGATAGTTATTCATTTTGCACAGATAATAAATCTCTGCCTGATTGGCATAAAAATAGAAATAGGTAAATGTCTGACTACAAGCTAAAATGCAATTAATGGTTCTAAACAAATAAGTTAACAAAGGGCTCTTCTGAAGAATTTTTCTTAAAAAGTTGCTTAATAAATAATTCATTTTTAACTTAAATCTTGTACTTTTCTTTGTCTTGAATTTTACTAAACTTTATCATAACTACTGTCAAATATTTACTAGGTTTTGTAAAGCAATACTGGACATTTCTTTTGGGGGCAGCTACACGATGTAACCAATTAAAATACCTTAAGCTATATTAGAACACTTACCACTTGCCATGCAGAATAATTGGACAGGCCAAAGGATTTAAATTTACCCTCTGAAACATGCAATAAAGAAGTTATCGTCCATAATATTTGCTAAGATCTAAAATGCTATGTGTGAGGCTAAAAAGTTAAAAATAAAAATAAAAACCAAACTTTTGTGACTAAGTAACTCATCTTTGGAGATGACTATATAAGCACTTCAACAGGTGGATGGGGGAACCTCTTATAGGTGGGCACCTCCTCTAGTTTAGGTGGATGTAGGCACCTCCTGTAGTTTAATATGGCATCTCCTATACATGGAGGTAGCCACTTCCTGTAAGTAAATGTGGCACCTCCTATAGGGAGATGTGGGCATCTTCTGTAGGTGGATAAGGGTACCTTGTACAGGTGCATGTATGTGTTGTAGGTCAACATAAAACTCAGGTTAAAATGAAATTCCTTTGTCTCTTAACCCTAATTATTCATGGATCATGAATAATTAAGGTTAGAAGTCAAAGAAAATTGCGAATCAAACTAGGTTAAAATCATTTTAACCTGAATTTCATTTTGACCTACAACATATGCATGTCCTAAAGGTAGATGTGGGCACATCCCCATAAGTGGACATCTTTGATAAAAGATCCAATAGAATGTCCTATACTTACCTTTATAGAGATGATTAACAGCTGAAAGTGTTTCCTCGATAGGCGTGTTGTGATCTGGAGCATGGAGGTAAAATAACTCCACAGTGTCTTTTTTCAGTCTTCTGAGAGATTCATTCAACTGTTCCAGCACTTTGTCATACTTAAGACCTAATTCGAGCAAATAATAGTACATGCTATGGTTCAGTATCACCCTTGGTACAATTTGGTGTTTTCCTTTGTTTCACACAATGTCTAAAAAGGTATGGTATCTGCACAGACCACAAAAAAAATGAAAATACCTAATTCTACCAAGGGTAAAATTGAACTACTACCTAACTTAAAATAAAAGCTTAAAAATCTCCTCAATTTTAACCAAAATTTATTTTCCAATTTAATTGCTCTTTCTTTCCTAGTATGTAATAGCTGACATACAGCCTTGATGTCCAGACAAGGACTGGGGACAGAAATTATGGGTTATTACTGCCCAAGTGTGAGTGTGAGATCAATAAGGCTGAGTACATTTTACTGAGTATGTCATTAAGATCATGGTAATGGCTTTTCCAATAAATACTTTCACCTTGATGCAATGTAATGTAACGTTTTGGGTAATATGTAGATAGGCATTAGACGAGTATTGTAATGAAGTGTAAGTAAATGTAGTACTGTAACTAGAGTAAGTAGTTGTTTTAGAATTGTAATTAATGTACGTATATGTATTGTAAATAATATAAGTGTGTGGCAATAAATAAATAAATAGATAAATAGATAAATAAATAAATAAATAAATAAATGTCCTTAAGATCGTGGTAATGGATTTTCCAATAAATACTTTCACCTTGATGCCACATAGATGAATAAAATAAATTGATAAGTTACATATACACGTATACTACACCAACTAAACAGACCTTTGTCATTCCATGGACTTGCCTTTGTGGCAATGAATGCCTAAATCAAAAAGTGAAACTGGTTAAATCAACTAAAATTTTAAAATGTCCTTGTGATTTACTAGTTAGAGTTACTAGAGAGTGACCTGTCAATTCTCTTCCTGTGAAACAAAGGCCTGATGAACTTAGGAATGTAGCTAAGAGCTGTCTGCTGGTTAATTTAACAGACTGAATAGAGTTTGTAGCCAGCTGCAATTTCACGAGGAAACAAACACTTTTTGTTCCTTTGAAGGTGTAAAGGCCAGACAAGCTGGCTGGGTTTGTCAATGAGCCACAATCATGGACAAAAGTCTTGAGACAAATTTGCACTTTTGGCGCTTTTGCACACATGCCAGACACGAATACAACTTCACCTGCCTAACTGCGCCCCTCACCCCCACCCCACCCCCCATACAATGTTGAAAACTACTACCTGCAATTCCTTCTGATTTTCAACTTTGTATTGGGTGGGGAGGGGGAACAGTAACACGTTTTTGAAAGGAAAGCAGCGCTTTTTTCAAACTTCAGTAGTAAAACACATACAATTCGTTAAATCACGTAAGTTTCCCAAGGACTTTTGTCCACGATTGCAGCTTAGTGTTTGTGAACTTCAACTTAATTAAAAGATTACTAATAATGACCAGCTCTACAGAGATATACCTTTGTACAACCCTGTCGCTTTAAAACTATCAGTGTGTATCCCCTGGGTTCTCAAACAACTCTCAGCTCATAGGAACAGAATTGCTAGTGGAAATATTGTTGTTTACTCAACTTTTCAAAATCATTGCCTGATTCAATCTGTTTAAATTTTATTGCCCTCAATGACTTGTTATGCAAGTAAAGTACTACCACACCAAAGAGGCAGAACTGAGTGTCTGTATCAGGCATTGATCTGGGATAAACGATGACTGATTTCCAAAACAACAAGTGCTGCAGGTGCAAGCTTCTAGAGGGGTCTCGGGCCATGCTTCCCCAGGAACTGCTTTGGATTTTAACTCTATAAGTCACTTTCCACAGTTTCTGAGTCAAAATATTTCTGAAAAATCTGTGAGTGACTGATTTTCGTACAATGGTGGAGACTGGAACAGTTCCACCCCTGATGACAGAGGTTTCCATGCTATCAACTGAGGTGTCTGTATTTTGGAGCTGTCAATAACAAGAGGTTGGCTGTATTTTGAAGTGTTGTCTTCCTGCTGTAGCTTAGATGCCTTTAGAAACCATCACTAAGATATCTATAAGTAAATGAATAAGTTGAAATCTATACATGCAACAAAAATATTTACCTTGGGATCTTTAAGACTGTCCATGTCTCCCATAATCTCCTCACTCTTTCCATTGCTGTACCTTTAATTTAATTCAGAATATAAATCACGAAATAGAAACTTACTGTGTTAATTCTCTGGATTCAGGGTAAAAATGGCCATAATATCTTGTGACTGGTACACCAAGGTAGCCAGAAAAACTTCAACACTTTATTTTAGATTTTAGAGCACAGGCTAATTTGCTTTGTCTTCTTCATTATTTTTGCAAACTAGTCTTAGTGATAACGTTAAAATTTCCAAATTACTTTCTTCAATTTGAAACACATTCACCATGATTCACTTAAGGTGAAGAAGAAAACACTAAAATTTATACTTACACATAAGCAGTGTCAAAATCATAAACACCATTCTCCATACAAATGTTAACAAACTCTTTTGCCTGCAATATTATTACAGGATAATAACAGTTTTAGTAACAAATCATATTAAACATTAAGTTCTCAGGTACTGTCATTGCCAGCCATAACCCATAACACTTTTAACAGCTGCGTATGCTTGACAAGCCCTTGAACTAGCCTGATTTTGAGATGATGATAAAAGACTTTTTATGGGTGTAAAGTTTTTTATGCTTTTTTTTTATGAGTTTAAAGATCAAGGCAACAGCAAGGTGACTCAAAACTTAATGACAGCCCTAATCTCCATTAAGTGGAGGATTTACCTTATATGCCACACACATATTTATCAAGTTATGACACATGGGGCCTACAGATGCTTACATTGCAAGTCTATTCATGCGAAATTTCTTGAACATTTCATAAAGGGAATACTTGACATCAACCAGCTCCTCATGAGTTATATGAAAACACTTCCAATCAGAAGAGGGCTCCAGTTAGTCTGCACCAACATTCCTCAACTAACTAAATGATTTTCTTTATATTAAATTGCTTTTGGTCACTAAATTTTTTTTTTCAAATTATAGTCCGTAAAATTGGGTGGATCTGGAATTGCACGTCTCAGAAAAAATACTTAACTCCTGGGGGACTCCAATATAAAAAGGTCGGGGATGCTTGTCATCTCACTTAGGGGTATAAATTGAGGATTCTGGCCTCACTTAGGATGTTCATGACAAAACACCACTATTTTTAGCTGTCAAAGTATCTTTTAGGGTGCACTTGAAGAAATACTAATAAAAATGCTCTTGTTTCCATTTTTTGGGCTTGATTTCCCCACGCTCTCATTTCCAGTCTAATAACAGGAGTTCTTTTCCTGAACAGTGGCTGATAATCCAGCCTATTCTGTTTTAAGGTGGCTCAAAACAATTTCAAGTACTTACCAAGACTTAGATTTTGATAGGTCATTATTACCATTCTTTATTAGCTCATACCACAATCATGGTATAAAAAAACTGCCCAGTCATTGGTGAACACACTGTTATCCTTTTTGCAACACAACAGGTTACTATAGCAACAGTACGACCTGCTAAAATACCCTTGATTTTAGCTTTAAGTATATATTTCAAAACATCAAGGTATATTTTCTTTTTATATTATCAAATTTTGAATAGCAGGATAAGTTGCAGCTTTTGGCAAAGTTTTAACCAATTCTGTACACAGGGTTCAGAGCCACATTAAATTGTTAAATCTTTAAGTTAGCTCTGAATCCCATGTACAGATTTTTTAAAAACTTTGCCAAAAGCTGCATCTTATCCTGCTAATCAAACTTTGATAATATAAAAAATTTCACCATTATGGGTGTTTGTAGTAGGTGATGCTGTTGCTATGGTAACCTATTGTGACACGAAAATGAGAACAAGGTGTTCACCAATGATTGGGCAGTTTTTTATACCATGATTGTAGCATCAACTGCTAAAGAGTGTTATAATGACCTATGAAAGTCTAGGAAAGTGCTGGAAAATGTTTTGAGATACCTTAAGGTTATTCCCCAGTATTGCATTGCGCATCCCTACTGCGCATAATTTCACGCGTGATTAG